ATTCGTGTACGGCTTGTATTGTATGTTTTAATGGGAGGAAAGTAGGCGTTAGAATATTTCTCTTCTTGACATTTAGTTTAGTTTATTTGTTTATTAAAGCTAAGAGAAGCTAGTGGGCATGTAGAAACTATTTGCTCATTTCACAGCTGGAATTTATTTTTATGTATTACCTTAGCTATTTGTTATTACTTGCAAGTATTACATTATACATACACTATATGGACAAAAGTATTGGGGCCACACCTGTTATTTATAGAATTCAGGTTGTTTACACCAGGACCCCTTGCCACAGGTGTATAAAGTCAAGCACCTAGCCCATGCAGTCTCCATTTGGCAACTTTGTGGATGGCAAAATGGGGTCGTTCTGAAGAGCCCAGTGACTCTCAAAGGTGGTACTGTGATAGGATGCCACCTTTGCAATAAGCCTGTTGGTTTAAAATTTTCATCCCTGTTGGATATTCACGGTCAATGTAAGTGATATTTTTAGAAAGTGGAAGCGTTTAGGAACAACAGTAACTCAGCCACGAAGCGAAGAACTACGTCAAATCACCAAAGCAGGGTTCAACTACTGCTAAGCCGCATGGTGTTGTAAAAGTCGCCTAGCTCTGCTGATTCCATAACTGAAGAATTCCGACCTTCCACTTGGCATCAATGTGAGCAAAAAACTCTCCCGCTGGTACAGAATGAATGGGCCACAAATTCCCCAGAAACACTTCCAAAATCTTGTGAAGCCTTTCAAAGAAGAGTGGATAGCTGCAAAAGGGCGGCCCAACCTCCATATTAAAGTATATGTATTTTGAATACAATGTCATTACAGTCCCTGTTGGTATAATGGTCCAGGTGGCCGAATCTTTTGTCCATATAGTGTATATTAGTGTAGAACTGTAGAACAGAAATTAAATTACTATGTTGTGTCATTAAACTGACAACTCATCCTTTGGCCAAATGAAGGATTTTTCACTCAGTATTTGTATATGGACTAATTAAATCTCTGTTACATGGTCAAACACTATGGTTGGGTACAGACACACCCTGCCAATATGGCACCGGTTCCTATACAACCGGTATCTACCGGACCAGATCACAATGCAGATGTCAGTGCCTCGCTTAAGTACCAGAGCAGTCTATTGAAATATTTGCCCTCTGATGTGAACGTTACAGGAAACAGGAATCACTGCATGTGTGCCATCATTATTTAACATTACACAACTCTCTCTCTACATGGCTTTGGCAGGAGGTAGCCTACTGCTAGCACGTTACTACTAGGGATACACAATAAGGGATACAGATAAAAGGGAATGTATATGATTATGAATGATTGTGATAATTAAATTACGGCAGGTAAATTATTGGTCCATAATAATAATAATTTATTTTGATTCTTATAGAGAACGTTTGATAGCCTCTCTGTTGTATGAAAGCAAAAGTATAGATATAAGTATAAAGAAGAAACTGCAGGTTATGAACTTCTTTTTAAAAATCCATATCATGCATCCCTTTTAAATACAGTTGAAATATGAAGCTAAGTGTGGCTGTAGTTCACTGGAAATGATTCAAACACTAGGCGAGACATGAAACAGATGTGGAAAAATAGCTGTTTAAAAGGGGGAAGCATCTGGTGATGCACGGGATACACTATATAAAGCAGCACCAAGCACATCAGCCGGCATGCGGGCTACCCTGGCCCCAGAGATGGGGCGCATAGCAATAAAACACCAGATGTGACGTGCATCTATGATGGGGAGACCATTGATCAAGGACGACAGCAGCCTTTCGTCAGATTAGCAAATATGATAATTCTACAAAAGAATTGCTGGAGTTTGTGGAACACCAACTCAAAATGTATTTTGCTGTTAGTTATACTGTAGCTGTTATTTTGTGTTAAATTATTGTAGTTGGTTAGGTTTTATTTATCATGTCAACTGTTTTATATTTAAGTAGTTTGTCCTTTTGTCCCTTTTTTCCCCAAAGTTCAGGCACCGTTCCGGCACCAGTGCCGTTTTAACAGTCTACAATGGACAAATCCCAAATGTTACCCAACACTATTAAAACACCTTACTTTGTTGAAATGGAATGTGATAGATTAGACACTCAGGAGCTTAAATAACTTATTAATAGCTAAACTACATCATCTGCATCCTCATTGTTCTATGTTTCTGAGTCGTGCATACTGCCTGCACCATAATTTGATAGAAATGAAACAATTATTTGAGTAATTGATCAACGGAAAGTTAATACGGTAATCCATTTACCATATAAGTCATTATTTAGTTCCTCAAAAAGATACTCAGCTTATTGGATAATGAAAATCATTGTTAACGGCAGCCCTATCTGCTGCCAGTGTATAAGCACTGGTATGGGTTTGTTTTTTTGCTCCAGCAGCACCTCTAGCAAACTACAGTGAGGTCAGGAAACAATTCACTGTCATGATGGCAAAAGCTAGGAAAACAAGGTCCTGCTTTAGAACCCCTTACAAGTTTAGGGTCTCATGGTGCTTCAGGGGTTTTCTACCCTGATGTACATAACTCTTGAGGAGTAAACACTGAGCATGTGGAACTTTTGGGAAAATGAAAATGATTAAAACAGAAAGGTTTTGATGTGTTGGTCCAGCAGAATGTATGTAGAGCTGGGCCCTGATGCATGTGATGTAGAGAGCAGTGAGTGGAGCAGCATCAGGAGACCTCAGAGTGGAGCTCAAAGTGTGTAAGTAACACCGCACACAGAGGTAAGGGCAGAGAGGCTGGGTGAGCAGCTGGAAGCCATGGTGAACAAAGAGGGAGGGGTGTGTGGGAAGGTGGGGGTGGGTCTACCTGGTAAAGACAGTGGCAGACACTGCGGAGCTGTGGGGGGAACTCGCTGGATGAACCGATGATGGCCTGGAAGAACCGCTCAGTGATCTGCAGCAGGTTCCTCTGGTTCTCTTCCAGGTTCTCGCCTTGTTCCAGCCTTATGAGACAAACAAGGAAATCCTGTCAGTGAGGTTTCATGTCCCTGTGTTCCAAAGACTTCCAGACTAAATATATAAAACTGTTTTAGTAACAAGTAGCCACAGCCTGTTCACCCTGCTGCCATCTGGGAAGACTTACAGACAGCGTCTTCCCTCAGGCTGTGAGACTTCTAAATTCATCCTCAACAATTCACCATACAAATTAGTACTATTTTGTACGGACTCATTTTTAAAAGAAGCATAAAGGGAACTATATTTAAATTTCATTCTACAACCTTTCGTTGGTAATGACAATAAGATAATCCTTGAATAAAGAGGCTAAAAGTTTATCACAGTCTGAGTGAGAATCTTCAGAGCTGACTGCATTGACTACACACTGCTAAAAAATAAGGACTACAACTGTCTACCACAATGCCCTCCCTCAAGGGCTGAATCAGCCGATAGCAGGTCTCCAAAGGGGATGTGTCATGGCTGCTGTCATCAGTCATCACAAACATTGGGCTTCATTCACAAACTATGTGTACAAACACTTTACATAAATACCGAAATCTGCACAATAACCCAATTTATTTTCTGTTTCATTAATTCATTAAAATTCCATCTAAAACAACAGGTACAACAGATAACCAAGTACATTAGATTGTAATGTGCATCGGAAATATACATTCACTTGTTTTAATATTAGCATTATATATCAGCATCGGCCATTGAAAAACCCTTATAAAAACCAGACCACTAATGAATACTACATGTACTCACCTGGTGGGATCCACCTCAAAGCTGATGTGATCAGGGGTGGTGATGACCCCTCTTAATAAAGGCTCCAGTAGCTTCTGCAGATATGCTGCCCCATATACCTGACATAAAGCAACATAAAACACAGTTAGTATATACATACAAGTAAGGGTGCACCATTAGATGAATATATCGACTAGCACCGTTTTTTTTAGGGCGATTTTTATAATTTATATTTGTTAATTTAATGGTCTGCCTCTGAAGAACGAGTGAGAGCCGAGTGAGAGCACAGTACACACAGTAAATCATCTGTAGAGCCAGAATATTTTTACATCTAACCCGGTAAATTGTTAAAAGGGGTTAAAGGTTTTTTTTTAACTGTTACAGTATATTCCTATGACAGGGAATATAGTTAGGTGATATACAGCAGCACCAACCAGGACTCCAGGTAGTAGGCGGGATCAGGACAAGACAGGAGAGGGGTCTAGCAGGAGAGGAGCCAGAGGGAGGTCGGGCATCAGAGAGGCAGTGAGTGTGTAGAGCCAGAATACTTTCACATCTTAGTTGGTGAATTAAGGATTTCTTTTGACCAAACCAGAGATGTTGATTGTTTGAACGGTGGAAAGAGTAACCAAGATGGTATTGGTGGAGTTTGAATGAATTGTGTTTTACAATAAGTTAACAAGAAACTTGGATTAAGGTGTATGGTCATATTTTTCTGTTTAATGAGGAAAATAGGTGTTGGAATATTTCCCTTCTTGTCATTTTGTTTTGGTAATTAAGGCTGCAGTAGGTAATTTTTTATAAACATATTTGCAGAAACTTTAACAATATCCTGACAGTAGTACATAAGACATAATCTGTGAAAAAAATCCTATTGCTCCTAATGGTATTTTCAAGAATACACAGGGCCTGAAAACAACCAGTAAGAGCCAAGAAAGAGTTGATTGTTGAGTCCAATTCCCAGGTTCTCTCCTGTGAATGGCGAAAGACGTCAGCAGACGTATCTGGGATATTTTTGGCTTGATGTTTGTACAGTGTGAGGAAGTGGAGAAACACTTCTATTTTTTATATGTCAATGACATATAAACTATGACAGTGGCTGGTTGAAAAACTTTTAATTATTGGCCAATCCTACATACTACATGTCTTCGGAGCCGGTATTTTATATCAAAGGCAGGCATTTCTAATGACTTAATGACTGCAGTGGTGCTGTGTTTTTCTACCTTGAAACAGAAGGTCATTATTTTGCTGGCCAGGCTGTTTCCTCTGAAGAGAGTCTGCATGGAGTCGGCCAGCTCCACCTCTTTAGAGAACATGTTCCACAGCAGCTGGTAAAGGAGGTGGCGGGAGTCAAACAGCGTCACCAGGACTCGGGCTAGCTCGTCCTGGAAATATAACAAACACAAATCACTGCTGGAAAAAGGTTTTACGGAGATCTGTTAATGCAATATCTTTTTTATTCCTGTATGTTCTATCATACCTGTGTTGAAACGTTCAATAAAATAAAATACTTTCTACAAGTCTGAGTGCATACTGTCCACTGTCAATCCTAAATCAAGAGGAGGTACACACCCACTGGGACCCAGGAACCACATTAGCCAGAGCCATGGCTATGGGCAGCTCTCCCTGGTCTCCCATCATGGTGACCAGCTCCACGAGCCTCTCAAAGCGGTCTGCCAGAACCGTCTCTGCCAGCGTGTCAAACTCCGTTCCCTGCTGCAGGATCTTCGTCAGTACCTCCATGAAGGTGGCTCGAGTCTGCAGGTCCTTGTGGTAACCCAGACCTGGGGAGGAAGAAATTAGCGCTGGTACTCAAAGGAACATTCAGTTGTTAACTACTACTATATAGTAATGCTGGAACCAATTTACCGATGGAGTGCATGAGACCGCTGTCTACGTTAGCATTAAGAAGGTTGGACATGGCCAGGACAGTGCAGTGGCGGAGGGATGCCAGCCGGCGGGACATTCCTCTCTTTCGTCCCCCCACTGCTTGGCCTTCATCCTCAACCTCACTGCAGTCATTCAGTAGGTTCATGAACAGGGTGAAGTATCTGCAAAAACAACAGCTGGTTTATTATAGGATGCAGGTAATTCACCAGCTTTCTCAGTATATTCACAAGCTTTCTTTGTACTTTGACACTTTTCAGTCATTAAACTGTACTAGTCAATACTGTATGTAAACACTGCATGTTGGAGTTTGCTCAAATGTGTTCTCAGATGGTTACGACATTGGACTCCACTTCCTCTATTCCCTCATAAAATGATGAAGGACTGCTCACATATCCTCAGCATAAAGCCATTATGAAGATGTTTCTAAGTTCCAGAAGCACTAATCCACAACAGTGTTGAACAGAGGACCCCTTCAACCTATACATCAGACCAAAAAGAATACCGCTTTCATGAGAACATGAGAATCTAAAGGGAAACTAGAAACTAGAATTTTTTTCTCTCAATATAAAGGGTTCTGTAGGGGTAAGGCACTGGTATGAACACAGCAGGGTAGCAGTCTTAACTGTTACTAGGACAAAAACTACTTTTGATTTGAGGTGCTGAAAAGATTGCTTGTATTACTAACCCTTGCAACTGCTGTCATCCAACAAAATTTGCAGAATTGTTTTCTGCTTGTTGTGTGACTTTTTAAAACTCGAACCCTGTCCATGTAAAGGAAGTCAGTGTTGTGCATGAATGCGCTAAAAGAGCGACAACAGGTGGAACTTAAGTTTTACTTTTCTGGCAGAGCTATTACATTGGTGCACCGCTGAAGAGAGAGGAAAGCTGCCTCAGAGATGGTTCCTCCACCCAAATCAAACTCACAGCATTTTGCAGCTTATTAAAAAATCCACTGAGAAAGGACAAAGGAACAGTTCATTTAATCTAGTGAACTTGAAAAGCCTGTAACAGTGTCACTTGTGAATTAAGGCACACATACCGGAAGCTTCAAGGTGTGGTCATAACTTTGATGCTGGTGACAGTTACTACTGCTAGATTATCTACCGTTAGTGAGAGGCTGCTGCAGTAAATGTTACTGTCGTCCCCTACCGAATCTCAGCCCAGATCATACCGTTGGTTATCTACAAACACTTAGCCTACTGCTACCTGCTCATTCTAATATAGATATAAACTGAATATAGATGTGTGGACAAGCAATATCTGGCAATGATGATTTTATTGATCAGCTTGAACGGGGAAAGACTGAAGGAGAATGACAACTGACCAGCTGACCGATCAAAGTTATTTATTAAGGTATAACAAATACTCAGGTTCAGGCAAGTTTACAAAATAATAATTAGACGTGTCTATAAAAGGCTTGTTTAATGTAAAAGGAATGCATACAAACTTTAATTTCAATTCAATTCAATTCAATTCAATCAATTTTATTTGTATAAGCGCCGAATTCATAAACAGAATTATCTCAGGACAACTTTTCAAATTAGGCAGGCTAGACGATGAGGAGAGACAGGACAGACAGAAGAACCAACAACTACACCAATACACTATCATGAACCATGAAGAAGATTGATGCGCGAACACAGCAGAACGGATTGGGAGAGCGAGCGCGACAAAGCAACAACATAACTGCTAGCAATAATAATACTTATAATAATAATAATAATAATAACGACAATAATATCATTGAATCCCAACAGGGTGTGCTTCATCAAATTAGTGTCAACTCAAGTGCAGCTGTTGAATACAGCTGTGTTCTTACTTGAGGAAGAGCTGAGATTTTGCCTCCATCAGTTCGACTCCATCCCCCTCTTCTGGCTGCAGAGGAAGACCAGCTAACAGAGACACAACTGCCTCCATACTGGCCTGGTCCAGGTCCCTGCTCAACACACACACACACAGACACACACACACACAGACACAGACACAGACACAGACACACACACAGACACACACACACACACACACCTATGCCAGTTTAACTTACATTGTTACAGCCACCATTTTGCCAGATC